GAGTAAATTCGCCTGCCTCGCTTGGGTGCTGAAGCCGATTATACGACCAATTGTCAAGGCCGCATTGGAAGCCCAGATTGCTGCCAGCATCGGCGAGTTGCTTCATTTCGCTAACAGAGAACTTCTTTTTGCTCGTGAGCGGCTCAGGGCTACCCGCATCGCCGACCCGCAGGACTTGTGGACATTCCTCAGGGCCGTGGCAGCGAGATTGGTGCCTCCGGAGGATCCAGATCTCTACACCCGAGTCGGCGTTGCGCAACCCGGCCGGGGTGTCTTCAAGGGGGTCTATGCCCCCGGCAGTCTCGTCAAAATGTGGCACGAGGAGGCGGCCCTGGCAGGCGACCGAGTGCACGAATATCAGAGAGACGGGTGGCGCAATGCAATCTTTGACATTGGCACTACAACGGTCTGACGTTGCAGTGCTGCTGGCGGGTAAATGGCGCAGTCGCAGTCAACCGACGGAAGACTGCAGTTTGTACGAAAAACACCAGGGACAAGACACGGCACGGAGGGCAACGGTATGGAGTCAAAAGCAGCATTTTTTTGTGATGTATTCCTAGAGGCGATAACAGGGGAAACAGGACCTTCTACAGAAATGGCAAGTCGTTAAATCATCAAAAAGCATGTGCTTATGGCGCGAAGTGGCGGATGCTTCCGGCAGATGCGCTGCATGCTACGCTGCCAGCAAGCAGTCTGTGTGCTAGCTGTGCAGCTTCCCGAAAGCAACCAGCCGCCGGTGCAATTGTTGTCCCAGCCTACCATCGAGACAACTTGTCAGCCTGCAATGCACAGGTCGTTGCCGCCGTTGTGTTCGCTTGACACCTCAATCGAGCAGGAGCATAGTGACACGATCTGTGCCAAGGTCAATTCACTAGAGCTTGAACGGATCTTTTCCTTGAACAAGTTTACGTCTAGAGGGGCTCAGTACAACAGCTTCCCTATTTACTCGTGTACATGAGTTTAATCAACCGACGTCTACAGCCACAGGCGCGTATCAAGCGCCGGAAACCGTGGAATGCGAGGGCCCAGCAAGAGGGACTCCGTGATGCCATGAGCACATGCCGGTGTTGGCTCGAGTCATCAAGCACTATGCTCCCGACGTCGAAATACCGTTACAACGCCCCTTGCAGTGCGCCACCCCGTTATTGGCGTCGCACAGCGACCGATTGCTGCGGGGCCATCCCGAAACTTACTGGTGCTTGAATTCGGGACGTCTCTTTTGGAGGAAGGCCGACATCCCTTCATTGAAATCGCCAAGGCTAAAAGTCGAGTAGTAAAGAGATTTCTCCATGGTCATCCCGGCGTCCAAGTGGCTATTTTCAACTGTGACGGGGTCAGCGAGTCATAATTACAGGGACCCGCCCCCTCGATCCCTAAGTGGAATCCGGAAGCCATCCCCCAAACGGAGAAAAGGGAGAGAGTGTGAGGGAACCCACCGGTGAGGACAGCCTGCTTAGCCGTCTTGACCACGGGGCCCGACATGACGGCAATGCGCTCAGCGAGCTTGAGGGCCGCTGGGACGACCTCTGCGCGCGGGAACACCTTGTTGACCACGCCCAGTCGCTCAAACTCGGCTCCGCTTGCTGAATCGCCCGTCAGGACGAACTCCATAGCCTAACAGCCGTTAGTTGCAATCTGTCTCTAGGGCGCAGTGCGCTAGCTCATTGGAGAGTGAGTCGATAAAGATGAACGGGTCAAACTGTAAGTTGATCTTCGTTCTCGGCTTGACTTACCTTGTGCTTTCCAAGGGCGCGCGCCAGCCGTTGAGTTCCGCCAGCACCCGGGATGGTTCCGATCTTGATCTCAGGGAGGCCGAAGGAGGCGTCCTCAGCGGCATAGATCATGTCGCACTATCGAATGTGATGAGCACAGCACGTACACGCCCAAAGCGACTTTTCTCGCCTAGCAGCAAGACCGTGGGGGGGCTCATGTCACTTACCGCCAGGGCAATCTCGCAGCCACCGCCCAACTTGAGGCTCGCGCATTAGCCAGGTTTTTCCAAGTTCTGGAGGGAGGAAAAGAAAGCAATTGGACCGGGGGGAGTCGCCTTAGGGCGCCAAAACGGCCTACCGCCCAGCCAAGGCGCCAAATGCACGACGACGACGGCGGCGGAAAACAACTTACGGCAAATCCGACAACAGCCGCGATGATGGGCTTGGAGAACCTGGCAAAGGCGTCTGTTAGGTCCTTGAGGAAGGCCCTGTTGTGGGCCTCTGCCGTGGAGATCTGCACCAGCTCGTTCAGATCCATTCCGGCTGCACCATAAAACGGATTAGCTAACGTTATGGTGTCCATTAGATTAGATGAAAGGTCCGCCTGCTGGGGCCCCCATCGAGGATTTTCATGACGTTTCAGAGATTCAGAAACGTCGACGTTCCAACGACGGACGGAGAGCGGGGCCCACTACCGCCTTTGTGTATCACGTCCGTGGGGAATCAGATGGAGATGGGATGGCAGTTGCGGTGCCTTTCAGGTTTGACTGCCGTGTGCGGCGCCGCGCCTGTTGGTGATGCGCCTGGATGCACGTGATAAGGGGGGCCAGGCCAACCTGCGCGTGTTGATTGACAAGCAACTGCAAGAAACAGCAGATGCCGAGGGGGAAAAACGAAGGGGAGGGGAGGGGGTCGAGATTTCGAACGCATGAGGGGGTGTTTGTCTGTCGCACCAAGACTTCAAGATCCCAAACGGCGAACACTAGAGCTTTTGGGATGCAAGAAATTTTGGGGAAAGAAACGTGGACATGTCTCGAGTGCTGAAGCTGGAAGCTGGAAAACTGGACGGAAGACGAAACGTACCGCAAAAGGGACCATCAGGGCCGCCGGTGATGACCACGGCGCGAACAGCTTCCAAGGCATCGAGATGCACCAGTGTCGCGATAATTTCGCCGATCATGACCTGAGAGAAGGCGTTTCTCTTGGCCGGGCGGTTGAATCGAACGAGGGCGACGCCCTTGTCGGCTTCCACGGTCAACTCGAGCGTTTGCAGGCTGTCCATGTTGGAAGAAACCTCGGGATGGCGATAAAGCGGGAGAAAAAAAACAAGCAAAAACGTGATGGGCGAAATTGGAGAAATGGAGACAACGGACGGGGGACCGGTTGGGATTGACTTGGAATGAGAGTCAAAAGCGTGTTGAGCACATGGCAAGAGAGACAAAGAAGTTGGACGTTTTCTTCTTGATACTTTTTTTTCTTTTTTCCGTCGTTGCTTCTTTCCCCTCACGAGGTTTTGCTTCTTCACTAACACCGAGCGCGCTGTCCAGGAGGGCCGCCCTGTTATGACCGAATTCGGCCGACCGACGAGGGTGAGGGGAAACAGTGCGTCGCAGGGCCCCTTTTCAGGGTCGCATCCGACTGGAGCCTCCAAAAATGCACAGGAGCAGCAGTGCGGATAACCAGAGGGCGAGTTGAGTGCAGTTGATGAGGGGGAGGGAGGGCGGCCGAACACTTTGAACGGTCAAGCCAGGCGTGAGGAGCCGCGAAGATCAGGGTTTACCCCGGGCGGCCGGCGACCGTCGCCCAACCGGGGAGGAGGCGACACCACCAACATCATTTCATCAACGCATCGGGGACGGGACGTGGGTTGAGAGAAAGTTATTCGAGACGGACCACAGCGCAGAGATGACAAGGGGTCGTCAAAGTTCACGCATCGGCTGTGAATCCGCAAGCGCCTGGCAAATCCTCCACGATCGAGGGTACGTACTGAAGGGAGCAATCCGTCAAGTAATGGGACTGATTGACAACAACTTTGTAAGCCCCCCCTGACGAACCCTTCTCCCCCCGTCCCCTTACCCCTACTCCCCTGCACCGGGGGATGTTCAAGGGAGCCCCTAAATCCTGACGTCCTGTCCACAAAGTCCCTTGCTACAGTCCAACTTCACGTCCTCCAAGGTCCAGGTCCGCCAGCAACAGCAAGCCCTGAGGAAACAGCTGCCGCATTGGGCGGATCTGGTCCGGATCGACCTCCGTTTTTGCCGTATTTGGAGGTCTCGTCCGGGCCAGCCCCGCCGTTCCGCACAGGTGTTCCGCACAACAACTGTTACCGCGGGATGGAGACAGGGCCGCAGGCGCGTTACAACCAAATTTCTGCCCGTTTTGGGGCCCTAAATTCAACCTAGTCGGATTGGCCTACTACTTGCTCTCTACGGATACCGTGTTATGGTTATGGATACCTGCAGACTAACGGCAAATCTCCAGCACTACCAGGCCTGTATGCCTACATAGTACACGCGCTCGTAAGGGAGGCGTATTCTCGACCGTGCCCCGGTGTGCCCCTTGGCGCTCGGGGCTTTTTCTTGGTGATGGATGCAAAATGCTTCCAGGACTCCTGCTGCTTGCGCCCATCATCCAGCACATCATCCCGTCATGATCCCTGGCTTTTGCGGAGTGCGGCCAAGTATCCGCTCGTCCGTTGCTGCTTTCGTTTACGGTTTGACGGTTCCCAGAAGACGTCCGATTACCAGGCCCCCCCATGGTGTTGTGAGAAAGCTCCTCCGTCCTGCTTGCTACCTACCTAGCTCATCAGAACAGGCAGCCCGGTTCTCCACCGCATCTAAAACATTTGTTCTGCACACTGCGTAGTAGGCAGGAGCTGAAAGAAGCAACGAGGCCCAGCCCTGATATCCATCCCTCGGCGTCTGGCCAGGGTGTTCTAGAAGCTGCAACCTTGTTCATTCACGGAGCTCGACGTAGGTTTTTGGCGAATTTGCCAAACGGGATGGAGTTGTGGTTCGGATGACAGGGCTTCTGCACGGCCTTTCGTCTTGGCATCTCGCGAGATGGCCACGCGCCTACCGGTACACACAGACGAGCAAGGCGAGACATGGCAAGGAAGTTGACATGGAGACAACGGAGGCGTGGGCGTGTTGATGGTCTAGACGCAGCAGGCAGATAGGGATATATCTGCCTCGCGGTTCCCACCTCTCCTCGTTCGAGCTATGGTTATCCCTCGCGTCACTGGTGGGCACAATCACTCAAGAGCATCGACTTCTAGCTCTACTAATCATGGTCTCCTCGCGTTCCTTCCACTCGCTGGAAAGCCTCTCCCTGGCGGATCGAGTGCTTTTCAACCAGTTCAGCAGGGGCCCCAGTGATGTGATCCCCTACCACGTCGTCCACCACGCCTTCGAGTCCATCGCCGCGGCGCATCCCGACGTCACCGCCGTCCGACACTACGATGGCACGACAATCACATACCGCGAGCTCAACCGCCGCGCCAACATCCTCGCCAACGAGCTGCGGGGCACCCACGGCCTCAGGAAGGGAGACCGCGTCGTGCTCGTCCACTCGCGCTGCATCGAGATGGTCGTCTTCATCCTCGCCGTCCTCAAGGCCGGCGGCCAGTACGTCCCCCTCGACGGCGGCATCATCCCGGAAGACACCCTCGGCTACGACATTGCCGACTCCAGCGCCCCCGTCGTGCTGTGCCTGCCCAAGTTCAGGGAGAAGGTCCTGCGCAGCATACCTGACGACCGGCGAGATGTGGTGAGAGTCGTCGACCTCGACGCGAACAGCTGGCTGTGGAAGCACGGCAACGCGGGCCACCCCGGCGTGATCGTCAAGCCCGAGGACGGTGCCTACGTGATCTACACCTCGGGCACCACCGGCCGCCCCAAGGGCGTGGATGTGAGACACGAGGGCGTTACCAACACCCTTCTAGCGGAGCCGTCGAAGCTGGGCATTCGTGTGGGAAAGAATGTGGCGCAACAGTTGAACGTCGGTTTCGATATGTGTAAGTCAAATGTCTCAAACTCTAAATTCCCATTTTCAGCTTTCATTGTTTGGCTGACGCGGCACACACGCGGATAGGCGCATGGGAGATTCTGGGAACAATGATGAACGGCGGAACCCTGCACATCAGGGGCAGCGGCAACGACCTCTGGACGGACTGCTTGCAGCGCGTCGACACTGTCATCGCGACACCGTCAGTCGTCCTCAAGCACATGCCCAACCGCGAGGACTTCCCCAACATCAGGACCATCGCCGTCGGCGGCGAGCCCTGCCCGTTGGCGCTCGCCGAACAATGGGCGCCCTACATCAAGTTCTGGAACGTCTGCGGCCCGACCGAGATCAGCATCCTCAACACGGCGCACCTCCACAAGCCCGGCAAGACGCTGTCTATCGGCAAACCCAACCCAAACACCAACGTCTACGTCCTCGACGAGAATGAGAACCCCGTCCCCATCGGCCAGCCGGGTGTCATGTGGGCCGGCGGTCCAGGCGTGTCCAGAGGCTATCTCAACCTGCCCGAGCTAACCTCTCAGAGATATAAGCTGGACAAGTTCACTCAAGACGGGTTTGTCCAATTCCCTCTCTCCTCCCACCGTACCGACGACCCGGCCGAGAACGCGCCACTGACATATAAAACTCACAGTCGTATGATGTTCAACACCGGCGACCTGGCCCGTTGGCTGGAGGACGGCAGTCTCGAGCCCCTCGGCCGCAAGGACGACCAGGTCAAGATTTCCGGTTTCCGCGTCGAGCTCGACGGCGTCTCCCGCGCCATTGAGAAGCACTCTGCCGTCACCAAGGGCTGCGCGCTCAAGATCGAGGGCCGCCTCTGGGGCTTCTACTCCGCCGCCGCTCCGATCGACGAGGCCGAGCTCAAGACGATCGTCGGCGAGGGCCAGCCTTTCTACGCTGTCCCAACGGTCTGGAAGTATCTTCCGGTCATTGAGCTCACCCCCAACGGCAAGGTCGACAAGCGCGTGCTCCGGGATATCGCTGGCGGTGCCACTCCTTCTCCTCCTCTCCCTCCCATCTCCACCTCCATGTCCACGCCCCAGACCGGCTCCTCCGCCTCTTCCATCAGGACCGAGGTGGCATCTCCAACAAAGAGCGAATCTGGCTGCACGCTCGTCGACTCTCGTAACTTCACCGTCATCCCTTCCCATGGCAGCGACCCAGACCTCGAGAAGACTGCCGCCTTCGTGGAGGAAGAGGCAGAGAAGCAGGAAGACTACGAGCTCCCCTCCAAGAACGGCTTCCATGGCTGGCGCTGGATCCGCCATCGCGGCCTGAACGCCTACCGCAAGCTGTTCGGCGTCGTCTTCCTTGCCAATCTGGCCACCTTTGTCTTCCTCCTGTGGGACGCCCGCGAGAACAACTTCTCCCTGCCCCTAAACCCCCTCGCCACGGCCGTCGCCGCCAACCTCCTCGGCGCCGTCCTCCTCCGCCAGGACTACGTCGTCAACTTCATCTTCTGGCTTTGCTCCCGCGTCCCGACCTCCGTGCCGCTCTCTATTCGCCGTCACTTCGCCCGCGTCTACCACAACGGCGGCGTCCACTCCGGCTGCGCCGTCTCCGCCACCGTCTGGTGGGTCATCTTCACCGGCGCAGCCACGGGCAACTTCCTCGCCTCGAACCCGCTCCACTCCGTCTCCCTCATCACCCTCGTCCTCACCTACCTCATCCTCCTCCTCCTCGTCGCCATCCTCGTCATGGCGTACCCCTCCATCCGCGGCAAGATGCACGACCAGTTTGAATGGACGCACCGCTTCGCAGGCTGGTCCGCCCTCGCCCTCGTCTGGGCCCACGTCGTCGCCACCGCCGCCTCCTCCGCCTCGCCCACGGCCCCCCTCGGCGCCACCCTCGCAAAGACGCCCGCCCTCTACCTCGTCGCCCTCACGACCCTCAGCATCGCCCTCCCCTGGATGCGCCTCCGCCGCGTCAAGGTCGTCCCGGAGCCCCTCTCCAAGCACGCCGTCCGCCTGCACTTCGACTTCACCACCCCGGGCCCCTGCACCTCGCGCGGCGTGCGCATCACCGACCGCCCCATGGTCGAGTGGCACGCCTTCGCCGCCATCCCCGAGCCCGACGGCCCGGGATTCTCCATCGTCGTCTCCAAGGCCGGCGACTGGACCAAGCGCATCATCGAGAACCCGCCCACCTCCATCTGGACCCGCGGCACCCCGGCCTCGGGCGTCCTCGCCGTCGCGCCCCTCTTCAAGAAGATGGTCCTCGTCGCCACCGGCTCCGGCATCGGGCCCTGCCTGCCCGTCCTCATGGAGCGCCGCGTCCCCGCGCGCGTGGTGTGGTCCACCAAGAACCCGCTCAAGACGTACGGCCAGGGCATCATGGACACTATCCTCAAGGCGGACCCGGACGCGCTCATCTGGGACACGGACCAGCTCGGCCGCCCGAACCTCGTGCAGCTTGCGTACAATGTGTACAAGGAGAGTGGCGCCGAGTGCGTCGCGATTATATCGAACGGGCCCACGACGAATAAGTTTGTGTACCAGATGGAGAGCAGGGGTATTCCTGCGTTTGGGCCCATTTGGGATTCTTAAACGTCTTTGGGTTGGGGATTTTCTTTGGGGTTGTGGTATTCATGTGTGTTGAAGCATTGCGGTTGGGGGCTGGCTTTTTTGAGCGAAAATTGCTGCTGGTCTTTGTCCATATTTTCTTGTGTCTATTTTTTACGTTTTCTCTCCGTCCTCGGGATTGGAAGGGTTATACCATCTACGACTGTCACTATTGTGTATAAAAGTACTAGTGCTGTGCGGGCTACATCAGGACATGTAGTTCGGACTAAATCTATAAGATTCATCATAACTTTTGTCTGTCTTGAAGTCTGTTGTGTCATCCGTCTAATTGAACTCACATACCGATGCCCACTGAATGCAATCATCATAGACCACTAGACGTGTGATTGGATGCAGAGACTTTCGAGATAGACCTCTAGGCAACGGCTGTGTTTGGGACTCTTCACATAAGAGATAAAAGACAAGAATAATCAAGGAAAGCAGTTCGCCACGTTACCTGACCTGTCGTCAAAGAAAGAGCAACCCATGGAATATGCGGACGCTGCGAACCGAGCCGTTGGTGGCTTAAAAGGCCTTCTACGCTGGCGCCAACCCAAGTAGTCCCCATAATACCCCGACATAATATGTTGTGTGGAATCGGCGAGAAAATCCCTCGGCCGTTGAAGCGGTTCTTGTGTTGTTCTTTCTCAAGCGACGATTGGGTCAAGACATCGCCATACCGCAGTATACTTGTTAGTCTTGGACTTTTGGCCCGGGGTAGGACTAAGCGAATCCTTTAGCCTTTAAAGTTGCACATCAATATTCGAGGTTCCTCCTGCCGTGACAGTCTAATTGCCGGTGATTGTAGCTGGTGGAAGCTTTGTTTCGGAGGAGTCGTTGTGCTTGTTGTCATTCTAGTTCTTGACGCCAAAGGTAGACTCGGATCGCTTGCTTGGGCATGTGTCGTGTAGGGCAAGCCTCGGATCGTCGGCGGCGCATTTAATCAGTTTGCTGCGGTATGTCAGATAGGGTATTCCCAGGGCGAAAGGAAATGTTCTGGCTACATTCGTGCCTTTTGATGCTGCCTTGGGACAGTCAGAATCCAAAGCCGAGAAGCCTCTTCTCTCTCGAGAAAGCCCAGAGATAACCACATTCAGCCTAACTTGCCTTTGATGATGGCAATAGTCTGCAGATGCGTCCGGTATCCCACGGCCATACCAAGAGGCGCTCTCGGATGCTGAGGTTTCCGAAAGGAGATCACTGTCGCAACTTGACACAGTGATTAGAAACAAGACGTCTCTGAAAGATTGTGTTCGTTCCTAGCATCATTTGTGGCAGAAAGCCTTCATATCTTGCAGTTTTGACATTGAGAACCCGAAAGGCGTGTCGTTCTAAATCACCTCGGCAGTACTAAACACTATTATCAATGGCAGTCGTACGATCAGGTTGGTCTGATCGACGCCGGGGTTGACACCGCCTTGTACGGGCAGTTGTGACCGGGAAAAGAAAGCAGACGACTTCACTCGAAACAAAACGGCACTGTAGAGCACGATAAGACCTGAATACGGTGTTTCCTCGGATTGCTCACGAATCTATTCGTTGGATTGGGTAGAAGGATACACACGTTTTCGATTGGATGACCAAAATGCAACCTCGTCTAGGATCGTCGTCGTTTCGTGTTACACTGGCAGTCCTGAGGCTATCGTGTGGGGATTGGGTCTGTCGGATTTCGGAACCGGTAGGTCATGTTTCTCCCACCGCCACGCCGGCCGAAGACTGTTCTCAAGTATTCCATGGTAATTTCTGACGGCGGTAACTTCCTTTTACTCCTGTTTCTGGAGAAGACAGTCTCAGAAAGGGCATTGGTCTCAGGCCATTTGTCTTTTAGAACTCTATCGCTCTTGATTGAACTCTCTCAAGCGGTTCATGACAGGCTGCACCCTCCACACGATACGAACCGGAACTATGTAAATACGAAAAAAGAACCTGTTCACCTCATGGGCGGAAACCGTTGTGACAACTTTAAGGCATCGGTGTGGGGTTGATTGCGTCTGCCTGGCCGAAAATGATGCCCCCGTGCGAGCCAACAGCAACCTACGGGGGCACTAAGGTTGGAAATGTCACCTTGAACTCTGTCAGGAGTTCAATAACCGATTGCAATATTGATATTTAGATTCTCCTAAAGGCACAGCACCGATTCAACGTTACCAGCAGCACGTTATCATTCGAACTAGCGACTGTCCCATAATTCAAGCCGTATGATCGACAGATCAACGATCAACCCAACATGCATGGCGACGGTACCATTCACAGCCACACGGGTTTCCATCGGCGGCGTGGCCGTTGGCTACGAATGTTTTACCCAAACGGATCTCGCCGCGACGGGGGCCAGGCAATGTCAAGATCAAGTATCCAAGTCAGACCACAGACTCTTGCGTCCGTCCCGAATCCCAACGCAGTGTGATAAAACCCTACGAGGCGATAGCTGTGTCGGCTGAACTGCGCAAAATCTTCCGGAAGCTCACCCTGCCGATCGTTCGGAAAGGCAAACGCGAACTGCTGATCCCATGTAGGCATAAGCTCCATACATCAGTTCACGAATGACAGTCGTATTATTCGCATTAGGCCCGAGGGGAGACAGTGTAGGGAGGGATGCACGCCTTGTTGCTGACGTACGTCCTTCTCGCGCGTCTCCCACGGAATCCTGACGGGCGATTGCATCCCATCTTGTGAAACAAGTTTGTGGATGGTGGTCTTTGGTTTTTCTGATGCAGTTTTGAGAGCTTTTCCTGCTTCCTCTCCCCCCCTCCAGCGGCCCATGCACCTACAGCCCGCAGCACACCACCACCAAGCGCCACATCCAATCCACATCCTCCACTCCATGACATATGTCAAATGGGAACAATGACAGATCATCGAACACGTTTGATCCCAGGCTGAGGCGAAAAAAACAATGACAATGATGCGCGCGGGCGCGGGTGCGCGGAGCGGAATGCACAGCCCGGAAAGTTTCGAGAGTCAGTCTCGTTGCCTGTCAAAACAACCACGCCGTACGCGTACAGCTGTAACAGCTTGTCTTGCTTCACCCTTTTTTTGTTTTTCTCGTATCCGTCTTTTTTTCGCGGAAAATCTCCTAAACAAAGATTTCTCTTCGCCGTGTCACTACACGCCAAACCCATCTGGCTAGTCCTTTTCTATTGATCTAATCTCCCTAATCTCATCCTTTCACATGCCATCTTTTCTTTCCTTCATCCTCCCTAATCGCATCTGTTCAACTTTCCCGCACCGATTGATTCTTTGACTTGTTGCGCTCGACGCTTGAACATCGCATTTCTTTCAATATGCCTTCGCTTTCGGCTCAAGTTATGCTTGAGCCCCCTAAGAAGGCTCGGAAACCGGCCAGTCTGGCGATTGCGGAATATGACAGGGCTGGGAACCTGAAAGCCAAGTTTATCGAGTCGGCTCCGCGCGCCGGACCTGCTCGAGTCGATATCCTGGTAAGCTTAGAAAGAAAAACAAAAAGCTTCCATCACCACACCCCTGATCCCTACCTCACCAACAGAGTTGCGCGATGCATGTGATTAACGGTTCTTCTGTGCAGCTTCCTACAATACGAAAGAAGCCTTGGAGAAAGGTGCTTGACATCTTTCTGCCGGATGGCTATCCTCACAGCGTGACGGATGACTATGCCGCCTACCAGATTTACGTATGTTGATTCTCCTTCCGGTTTTAGATGGCAGCTGCTCACCAGCATTTAGGACTCGTTCCAGGCGTTCGCCGGGACGATAGCCGGCATGATATCTTCACGTGCCGTATGGGAAGGTAAGCAGCTGTGAACGTCATCGACGGCTAAACCTGCCCCTTGATCTTTGGATGAAGACCAGTTCAAGTGATCCACTTGCTAGTAAGATAGACGCTAACCCATCGGACAGGTATGGGAGTTGGTGACTCCATGGCTTCGCCCATTGGCGCTATGATGATACAGGTGATTCGCGAGTCAATGGGCAGACTCGGAACCATTGCCTTCGCTCACTTGATGGGGACATCAATAGAGGCTGAGTGCAAGGCCTATCGCATGGCTTCCGATGTGCTGTGCAGCATTGCCTTCATCTTGGATTGTCTCTCGCCGCTGTTCCCGAGAAGCATCAGATTTATAACTCTGTGCTGCTCGAGTATCTTGTTTGCGGCGAGTGGTGTTGCTGGAAATGCATCAAAGAGCAGTCTGAGCGGGCACTTTGCGAAGTGGAACAATCTTGGGGAACTCAACGCTGTAAGCCAATTGCTTCCGCACTTTTCGTTTCTGACTAATACCATACAGAAAGACGCAAGTCAAGAAACGGCAATTTCATTGATGGGCATGCTCGTGAGTTGCAGTATTCAGAATAGCACCATCATTTGCTAACTTCATTACAGACCGGTACTCTGGTGGTTTCTTGCCTGACAACACCAACCACTACCTGGACAACACTCTTCATCCTGATCGCCATCTACCTATTCCTCAACTGGAAGGGTGTCAGAGCCGTCAAATCCCGCTCACTGAATCGACAGAGGGCGAACATCGCATTTTCTGCACTGCTATCCAAAGACCAGGTTCTTACGCCCGGAAAGATTTCCGAAAAGGAGCTGATTTTTGAGAGACGCGGTGGCGAGGTTTTCCGATGGAACGTTGACACAATCCTGGGCCATTGCAAATTCGGGGTGTCACTGGAGTCTATGCTCCAGGCTTTGGCGAATGGCCAACAGAACATGAGGTCTTTTCAACTTCCGACGGTGGACCTATCCAACCTCATGGAGCTTTTCGAGAATCAGCAGTATATCATGTGGTGCCAAATATCCGAGGCGACAAATTACGACGCGGCATCCAGGACCAAGGTGTTGATCGTGTTGAAGAATGGCGTTTCCGCCAAGTCGCAACTGAAAGCTTGGTTCCACGGCCTTTTGCTCGCTGAGCGGCTGCACGGTCTGAAGACAGCCGAGCTGAGGCGAGCTCAGCTGGGCCAGCACATCATGCTAGGGCACATTCAGGCGACGATGGCTCTGACCGA